TTGCAGATACGCCTTGCTGTCTGGGGGGTGCCAACCGACAGGCATGCAACCTAGTTCCAAGGCTTTCTGTGGCCGAATTTCTCCAACTATCTAATATCAAAGTTGGTTTTCTTTGGTATGGAAGCTTCCGTTTCCAGGGGCACTATTCCTCTCTCGCTTTCTGTCTACTGTGACATGTGATGAAGTTTTCTGAATATCTACGACTGAGTAATTTTTCACACATTTAATTTTACTACTGTAAACCTTGCAGGCAGATTACTAAACTGGCTCATGGAATTCCTCATAGATGAGAGTCAGAGGGTTAGGATCAACTTGAAACTCTCCTCTTGGACAGCATTGCGTAGCGGAGTGCCACAAGACACGGTACTCGGACCTCTCCTATTTATTTTGTATATCAATGAGTTATCTCTGCTCATAGATTCCTCTATGGTCCTGTACGCAGATGACTTAAAAAATTTAGAGAGGCTGAGGGGCAACAGTGATACGTTCACTTTGCAAGAGGACCTCAACAAATTGTCAGAGTGGTCCAGAGAACGGATGCTCACGATCAATGTAGTGAAATGTGCAACCATGCGTATCGAACAAGCAAGCATCAGCTCCTACGAACTAGAGGGAATAACACTTGCATCAGTTCAGACTCACTTGGATTTAGGTGTCATAGTTGGCCACGATTTAAAAACTACAGCACACTGTCGCGCGGTGGCTGCACGTAGTTTCAGATCCTTATGGGCAATTCGTAGAGCCTTTACTAGAATCACCAGAGATATGTTTACCTCCTTATATACATCTCTGGTGAGGTCAAGACTAGAAAACTGTATCTAGGCAGCCAGTGCTTGTCTTAAAAGGTACTCACACATTCGAGAAATGGTTCAAAGGAAGGCAACACGTATGGTTCTCGGCATGACTAACTTATCATACGAGGAAAGACTAGACAGTTTAAATCTCTTCTCCCTGCCATACCGTAGGCAGAGAGGAGGTTTAATGACAATGTTTAAAATTTTAAATAATGACTACGGACCTAACCTATTCTTTCTTTTCCTTCTCACCAGGTCGGAACACCTTAGAGGAAATAGCAGGAGATTTAAAAAGCCAAGGAGAAATCATATTTCTACTGTTGAGTACTGGTTCTCATAACGAGTCATACACTCTTGGAACTGACTCCCAGAAGAAGTGGTGTCTGCAACAACCTCAAGTGATTCATTCAATAAGGGTTTGGACAAGCATAGAAATTTACTAGAAAAGGATTAACACAGGCTCCAAGCCTTCTTTCTATCCTCAACCAATAAATCTGAAATCCGTAATCTACTTTTAAAGCGATTGTAGATAAAGTACAAAATGATATCATCTCACGATATCGATCTTTATAATGCTTACTATCCTTATTGTAGGGAAAATATTCACTCTCTGTTTTTAAAAAAATTCCCACCTGCTTCTCTATGGTTACCTTATATAATTCTATTGTTATGGAAACGACGAATGTGAACAAATGTACATGTGTGAGTATATTATGAAGCCTCATCTCTACCGCAGTTAATACTGTAATCGGATTAACCAGTTTTACTGGCTAAGCAAAACTAAAGAGCAGGTTGAGATTTCAATTGTATGTGGGCGGCGGTAGATTGAATAATTAATTAAGCTATATACCACTCTATATCTCTCTCCAAAATTAGCTGATTGATTAAGAAATTCTGAAATATCCATGTTGTTGTTTTTCCCCGCATGGATTACATCATTTCGGCAGGAATTCATATTACCGTTAAAGAAATGGCATAAACGCTTGAAGCTTGATAGTTTTAAAAAAAATAAGGAATTGATTGAATTACTGAGTCGTAAAAAGTGAATAAAATCCGCTTTCTGTGTGTGTGTATTGCCGCTGCACGCTGTTCTCCGTCTATCGCTTTAATATCAACGATTCTTATCAATACAAAGTTACCCAGCTGAAGAATAATAATAATAAGAGTAATTTTTGCTTTATTCCAAAAACAGTACTAATGATACAGCAAGGAATTTTCAGCGTTCACGACAATATTGCATCTAATTTACTCAAAATAACAAAAAATAAATATTGTTATTGTTCCCTTGGGTTCCTAGTGGAACATAGGGCTTCAGCTGCACGTCTCCACTTGTTTGTCAGTTTTCGCTTGTAAGTCTTCGATTTTGTGTGACATCAAACATAAATCATCCACGCGCGAAATCCAGGTCTTCTAGGTTCTTCACGTCGGTCCAGGATATCCCTGTCTTCTCGTTTCCCACTGTCTGACGCATAATCCAGTCCACCACAATTAGGAATATCATTGGTGATAATAAGCACCCTTGTCTGACTCTTGTGTTTACTTCAATCGCCTCGCTGAGTTTTCCATTGTGGATTACTTGACATGTGCCGTTGTCGTACAGCTGTTGAATAAGGTTGATGAATATTAGGGGTACGCCGTAGTACTTGAGGAGTTTCCAAATTACTTCGCGGTCAGCGCTGTCGAAGGCCTTCTCAAAGTCTATAAAGTTGAGGTAGAGATTTGATTGCCATTCCATGCTTTGTTCGATGATAATGCGTAGAGTTGCAATTTGGTCAGAACATGATTTGCCTTTCCTGAATCCAGCTTGTTCTGGTCGGAGTTCTGTATCCAGTGCGTCCTTTATTCTCTCCTGAATGATGTGACTCAGGATTTTACTTGGCGTCGACAGGAGCATGATTCCTCGCCAGTTCTTGCAGAGTCCTTGGTCGCCCTTCTTTGGTAGGTTCACAAGGTAACTTTTCCTTCAGTCAGTAGGAATCCTTCCCACCTTCCAGACCTTTTGCAATAATGGAGTTAGCATATCTGCTGTCGTCTTTGGGTCCGCTTTCAGTGCTTCCGGGGGTATTCCATCTGGTCCAGCTGCTTTTCCAGCTTTCAGAAGCTTGATTGCATTCAATACTTCAGCTTTCGTTGGAGGATTGGTGTTACCTTGCAGTTGTGTACGTGCTGTTGATGGTATTTCTGGACGGGTTGTAGGTGGGGGTCTGTTCAAGAGTCCTTTGAAGTGGTCCGCCCATTGTTTAATCTGTCTTTCTTCCTTGGTAATTGGGTTCCCTTGGCTGTCTTTTATAGGTTTCACTTGTGTTGATCTCTTCCCGGATAGAGACTTGGTTATCTGATATAGTGTACTCAGGTCCCTTTTGCCTGCTGCCTTCTCAGCTTCTCTGGCCAGATTATCGTAGAATTGTCTTTTGTCCTTCCTGGCACTCTTCTTCACTTCTTTGTGAAAATAACAAAAAAATTACATAATAATAACAATAATAACGTTGTTATAGCAGCTATGTAGCAATCACAGTATGCCATAAGGAGAAAAATATGCACAAAGTATAAAATTATAGTAATAATAGTAGTAATAACAACTAAAATAAAATAGCTAAGTTATAATTAAACGATAGAAAGGGTGACACCATAAAATTACAGAAAGATGAACGATGCAAGGGGTCGATTCACTTTGCTAATTACGTAGTAACTTATATGTTTCATGTCTAACAGTGTCTCCATCACATAAAATACGGGCTAAATAGGGTATTGTAGAATTTTTGTACTTAGTGATGCGAGCATATAACTTTTTATATTGACTTCTCTTCCTACCTGATGAGATGCAAGGGGATAGTTGTGAATAAAGGGGTAGGGGCGCAGGGGGTCTGACAGTACGGTCTTTGCCCATTTTGTACAGGATTTTATCTGTCTCTCGACTATAATATTGGCGAGCTGACGCAATGGCATACCACAAGCCCTACTCACAACATTTAATACCCTTCGTAATATGATATAGTCTTTTTTGAGAAGCCTAGGAAAGATTAATGGAGAGAAACTGAGTACAATAGGTAAAATACAGGAGTTTACAAAATGCAGAAGTAAAGGTTGGTTGATACCTGATTGTCTTAACTTTTCAATGTAGAAGGTAAGACGAAACATTTATGATTTGAATAAAACTTCAAACTTTATTCTGAGATCTGTTGTGCATATCTTTAAATAGTTTTTAATTCATACAATCGACAGAAAACTGGATCGAATCGGAGAAGTCCTCATAGAGAATGGATATCCTTCAAGATTCATTCAGAGAAACATGAATTTAAAACAAAAGCCTGAAAGAACTCAGACAGTGACGAAGAAACTGCTATTTATGAACCTTGAATTTAAAGGTGATATCGCAGCTTAGATGCCGAATATCCGTTGCTTAGCCAGATCACTAAGAAAAGCCTTCTTTACGTTCAGGTACGGATCAATTTCTACAGCCAACAAATGATCAATGAATGTGTGAAGAATAAACTGCCGCCACTTTGGGATACCTCAATGTGTGTTTACAAACTAACCTACTCTTGTGGAGGTAGTTATATTGGCCACACAAATTGAGCACTTTCCGAACGCATTTCTGAAAAGTATTCATATTGCCTCACACACACACACACCACTGATTACTCTCATGTCCCCATTGATCATGCATATTAAAAAAATTTACTAACTATTATTCCATCCCATCTTACTGCTTATTTCACAATACATTAAGGTGCGTCAGTGCCACAGCGGTAGAATGTTCACGTCATATGGTCCGTGGTTGAAACCCCGGTCACTGGACGCACTCTTTTACTTTGCCAAGCTACTAATAAAATTGGTGAGGAGGGGAGTTTCGGCATAAGTAGGCTAGCAACCTCATCCCGCAAAAGTAAACGCCACTGCTACCGAAACTTCAAACCTCTCGTCGCGGGATGGAAAAACAGTACACTGTCTGATATGATTCTAATTTGCCTTTACTGACTGACTGGCTATTGTATGCTTAAATTAATTAATGGATTTATAATCAGTTGTAGAGCCTGAAGAAGAGTAACTTTACTGAAACCACAATTGTTCGCTCTTACCAATTTTATTCTTAAATTAAATTAAACACTTTGAAACTAATTTTAAGTCTATAAGCCTTGAATTCTGATTGGTCGCTTATTTTGATTGGTTAATAAACACATTGAAGGTCATCACTAAAAAGACACAAAACGACAAAAAAGAAAGGAAACGGAGTGATCAAGAACTATAGAAAAAAAAAATAAATAATAAGAGGAGAAAATTATAATTTAAAATTAAGAAACACTATGTATCTAACTTTTACATCATAAAAGGAATCATTAAATAATGATGTCTAAAGACTGACTGAGGTCATTTTTCCGTCAAAAAAAACGCTTTCGTACAAATGTTTCCTAACACTGAATGTGCTTAGAACTCAATAGTAGAATTAATCTCAACTGTGTTGGAGTGAAGTTCATTCAACCTTTTTGAAAAAAGAGAAAAAAAAACAGAAAAAAACAATCTATGCACAGAACTAGATTGAATAGATTATTCCAGTTTCCTTTGAATTTTATCATAGTATATATTTTGCTGAATTTTGCCTTACGGCATAATACCAATGCTGAACACTACAAAACACCGACAACTACAAATGGCTGGAACACAGATTCTGTTGAATTTAATCCTCCTGAGCTGCCAATAAATATTATCTTTATTTATTTAACAATAATTCAATTAAAACTTAAAGACCAGCGGGTTTTCTGGCTGTTGACATTCGTTGTTCTTTTACAGATAACCTTCAGCCGCCTGATTATACCATTACTAGATGATATAATGAAGAAGGTGGAGGATATTAAAGCCTGCCTGAAATATATTCATCATAAGGCATATACTTGTCTAATTCATGTGGATAATTCTTTGAAATTCCCTATTGCCGAAGCTAGGATGCAGACGCCGGCTGGAATGCCTAAACGACCGGAATATTTCACTTCGTATGAACAAATGGTGGATTACTTAGCAGCATTAAATCAATATTATCAAGTATTTGGTCGTTCAAGGTGAGTTTTCACTGCAGTTGTTTTATATTATACAATTAGTGAGTACATATTTGCTAGCTTGAGCTACGCGTTGATATGAGTGATGTCTAACTTGTTCGTTTGAATTCCCAGGGGGACATAGGCCTTCAAACTAGAGCTTTGTAGTTTGAGTATTATTATTATTGTTCCCTTGGGTTCCTAGTGGAACATAGGGTTTCAACTGCACGCCTCCACTTGCTTCTGTCTTGTGCTGTACTTTTCACCTGCATCCATGTTAATCCATACTGTTTCAGTTCCTCATCACACGATCTCCTCCATGTCACCCTTGGACGTCCCACTCGCCGCTTCACTTTCGGGTTCCACTCGAGTGATGTCCTGACGCACGATGTCACCCAGCGGCCTCCTCGGCGAGTGTCCAATCCATCTCCACTTTCTCCTGCATATTTGTTGGGTGATTGGCTCTTGTTTCGTTTGTTCCCATAGTTTCTTGTTGGTTCTTGTTCTTTCCGGCCATCTGATCTTCAGTATAGAGCGAAGACAGTTGTTGATAAAGGTCTGCAACAGGCTGTTGGAAATATTCTTTGTGACCTGCCAAGTTTCTGATCCGTATAGCAAAACTGACTTGACGTTTGTATTGAAAATTCGAATTTTGTTGTTGATGCTGAGTGACGAAGATTTCCAGATTGGTTTCAGGTTGATGAATGTGTTTCTCGCCTTCCTGATTCTCGATTTGACATCCTCGTCCGTTCCTCCTGTAGTTGAGACAATGCTCCCTAGATAAGTGAAAGAAGTAACCTCTTTCAAATCCCTCTCGTTGATGTTGATTGGGGCTGGATGTTGTAGTTTAAGTAGCGGTGTTGATTTCTGCTTGCGGGATTGCGTTGCTTGTCTCATACTCAACCCTCCATCTTTTAGGACCTTACAACAGGCTAAGCGAGGTGAAGGAGTGCGTCAGTGAGGGATCAAACTCCAAACCACTTGCCTGGTTGACCAGTGATGGCAAGCCACCTAGTGACATGGTAGCCACATTGCAAAGTTGACTGATATAATTCAGTATATTAAATATTCCCATATTGTGATTTCAATTAGATCTCATCATCAGGAATAACTCTAATATGATCACATAACTTTACAAATAAATATTCAAATATAAACCAATCGCGGTGTTTTGTCTGTAGGATAATAAGATGGTGAATATAAATTGTACAATTAGTCATAATAGTAGTAATGATAATAATAATAAAAATGGTCTTATCAATAATAAGGATGAAAAAGGGAGGCAATCTGTGATAACACGAATAATGAAAAAACAGCATGATTAAACAAACAAATGTTCAGGTAGAAGTAGTAGTCGATAAAGGCTAAGAAAAACAAATGAACCGATTAAGTAACGCTAGATTGTAAGGGAAGTAAATGAAACACGTTTTTAATGAAGGTGTGATAAGATTAAGGGGTTGAAAATATAAATAAGAGGTGGTGTAGGAGTCATTAGTTGGTTATGTCTTAATAGGCCAACAAAGGAGGGATAATGGTTGTACGAACTTCTTTTGAATGAGCATAGTTTAGGCTTAGTAGTTCGAATGCCTATCACCTCAGCTGTGTGTGTGTGCAGTAGACGAATACGAAGTCTACTGGAAAGATTTGGTGCAATACGATGAATTACTTTGAAAACTCTTGTTTTCTCCACTACATGACCACTTTCAAATTAATGTGACAAAACTAAGTTACGGATTGTTTTTGTCTGTCCTTTGCCAAACCACGATGGGAGGTGTTCAATAACACGTTCGTTGGCTAAGCTGTCAAGTAGCATGCCCAACATAACTGTCACCGCAGGTGCAGTTGAGTTGATAAATGCACATCGATATGGCAAAACTATCTAGCTTATCCTTTGTTTGCGTTCCAATCATTCGTTGGCTAGAGAATGACAAACGTAGGTATGCTGCATAAAACGTTCTTCGTGTACTCCTGGAAAGTCTATGGAATAAAATCTCACTTGATAAGTCACCATTAAATTGTACCTTTATAAATGGAGGTTTTTTACGTGCAGCAAGGGTCTCAAGTTTTCTCTCAAATGTTTTCATATCTTTCTTTATGAAACTACTGGGATAGCCCATAATTCAGACTGCACTAAAGATAGGAGAACTAGACATATTACAATAGTTACTGACTAGTGTCCAATCAAAAAAGTCCCCAATCCAGTCCTACAGGACTGGCTGATGCTGGTTTGAATCACAGAAAGAAGTGTCGACTGGCACGAATCCTAGGTCAGGCTGGGCTTCGTGTGGTTGATTGCCTCCAACCACCTAATATGCGATCAAACAGATCATACAGATTTTTATCTGACTAATTTCGGTTTCCGAACGGAACTGCGAGGAAACTTCACCTTGGATTGTGTAAATTACAAATTCATTTGCTAATTACGAATTTAATTTACACAATTACCAGTTCAGTCAAATTGCTAGCTGGAAATCTGGTGTTCTGAACTGATTCGACTGACTGGGGTGAGCAAAATCAAGTACACTGGTGACGAGCCGGTCTCAGAAAAAGTAACATACGTCTAGGGTTTAGAACTAATTCAATCTATTGGGCCGCCCAGCATTATTCATTAATACGAGCGGTATCTGATTATTGTTATTATTATTATATTATTAATCCCTTGGGTTCCAAGTGGAACATATGGCTTCAACAACACAGCTACACTTTCTTCTAATTCCGGCTGTCATTTTCAGCAGGGTGAGCCCACGTTTGCGCATAATCTCTCATCTCCCCCTCTACAAACGATCTTCTCCATGTCACCCTCACACTGATGACCCACTCGCCGCTTCCTGTTTCGATTCCATTTGGAGGCCAGGAGAGAAATGTCACTTGACATTCTCATAAGCGTATGTTTAATCCATCTCCACTTCCTCCTACATATTTGTTTAGCAATCGGTTCTTGGGTGGTTTGTTCCACTGCAGATTTTCTTGGTATTCATTATTTCTGGCTTGCTATTTGATCTTCAGTATGCAGCCGGCAAAGACAGCTGTTGATAAAAGTCTTTAAGTGAATGTTGCAAATCGTTTTCGTGACACTAAGCGAAAGTCTTTGATCCGTATAAAAGGATTGACTTGACATTGGTGTGCCCTATACTGAGTGAAGTAGAAGATTTCCTAACTGGTTTCAGGCTGATGAAGGCGTATCTCGCATTCCCGACTCCGACTGGCTGGCTTTGACATTTTCATCCGTTTCGCCCGCCTATGGTTAAAACGATGCTTCTTGACCGGATAAGTGAAGTAAAAGCCTCTCTTGAATCTCTCCCATTGATGGTGATTGGTGCCGATTGTTGCTGTTGTTGTGGTTTGTTGGTTATCTACATCAACTCCGCCCCCTCTGTGTTCACCTAGAGTTAGTCCTGTCTTCACTACCTCTTCAGCCAGTTTATTAGTCTTCGCTTTCCTGTAAGTCTTTGAGTTTGTGTGGCATTAGGCATAAATCACCCACACGCGAAATTCACACCTTCTAGTAGCTTCTCAACGGTGATCCAGCGTACTCCTGTTTCCTCGCTCCCAACGCACAGTATGACGCATGATCCAGTTCACCACAATTAAGAATGTCATTGTGGGTGATAATAGACAGCTAGCCAGCCAGCCTTTTTTTACTCCTGTATGCACTTCGAACGCCTCATTGAGTATTCCGTAGTTTATCAACTGACAAATGGCATTGTCGTATGGCCAGCTGTTGAATGAGGTTGATAAAGACTTGGGACACTGCACGCCGTAGTGTTGAAGTAGTTTCCAAACTCTTTCCCAGTCAACGCTATCTGTCGAATGCCTTCTCGAAGCTGATGAAGGAATTTGAGGTAGAGGTTTGACTGTCATTCTATGCTTTGCCCTGTGATGATGACATTTAGAGTTGCAATTCGATCACGGCATGATTTGCCTTTTGTGAATCCATCCAGCTTGTTCTGGCGGGCTGGTGGGGTTGTGTATCCCATGCATTCTTTATTCTCTCCAGCATGACTCGCCTTAGTAATTTGCTTGGTGTGGACAAGGACATTATTGCACGTCAGTTCTTGCACAGGCAAGAACTCATTTCAATTCATAAATGTTATGTACCATAATTGTGTGCTTGATCGGATAATTCCTCCCCACAGGAGAATAAATCACGAGATAGCTGACAGAAGCTTAAAAGTTGCACTAAGCAATTACATAATACAGATAAGGTACTGATATAAACGGGGACTATTTGAAAAATAGTGAATTTAGAACTGAACATATTTTTCTGTCGATAATAAACCCTACTTCCTTATTCAACTCGACGTCAAGCATTCAGAGAAAATGTTCAGACAAATTAACCCAAGGGGAATAACTATTCATTGTTACAAGAGTCTCCCTAGTAGACCAACAATTAATTAAGTCGCTTTAGAGCTATTCTATGAGATGTCCTGTTTTTACTAGACTCCAGAAAATGATGTATTGACTGATTTGAACTATAACGGATATTTTTAACGATAAGTGGTTACATAATTCATCTTTTCTAGGAGTGATAAATCCTCTTTTTGTGTATTACTCCATGGATTGTATGAAATATCTGCTTCACCAGTTTTGGGCTGGTAGTATCTTCAACTCTGCAGACTAAATCATTTCAACTTGATAACGATTATTTATCCATTTAGATGGAATACAATTCTCTCACATTTTGTTTTCAATAATCTTAAGTTTATTGTTATAAAAAAACACTGAAAGGTTCAATATTTTCCCAGATTATTTCATGGTTTTAGCCCTGGTGTTTCATATTATGAGCAGTATACACGCAACACGCGATATATATGTCCTGTGTATTATTTGTTTTCAAGAATTTTTACACACGTTTTACGAATAATAAATTTTCAATCCTTGAGATTCAAGGTTGATTGTGAAAGAGAAGTCTCGTGATTAGCGTTATTAAACTTGCGGATTAGACAATTATATTTGTGAATTCCATTATGGGTGAAATCTTTTTGATGAAGTCCTACATGGTGTGTTATGCAGTGACATTTACT